CGAGGCTGTTTCATATTTCACAGAGTCATTTATATAATTTTTGTCAAAGAAATCGTATCCGAAAATGATTTACGCTGAAATTACAATAAATTAATTTTTCCATAAATTTAAAAAACTTATTTGAAACTTGAGTTAACTGAGGCACATCTTGATTCTGTTTCGCGGAGTAATTTATATAAATTTTGTCAAATTTCAGATAGCTAAATTTTCAATAAATTACTTTTTCCATAAATTTAATATTACCTTATTTGAAACTTGAGTTTGCTGAGGCAAATCTTGACTCTACTTCGCAGAGTCCATTTATATAATTTTGTCAAAGAAATTGTATCCCAAAAATAATTTTAGGCTGGCAAAATTTTCAACAAATTAATTTTTTCATAAATTTAAATATCAACTTATTTGAAACTTTTGAGTTTACCCATCTGTAAATTTATTGAGAGCTATAACTGGCACGGTTTATAGAGTTGATAGTCAAACAAATTCAAAAATATTGTAGACCTATAAAAAGTGTCGAATCATAAATATAAGAATTTTCGACATTTAAGCACTTGCTCAGATCGAATAAAAATTGCATAACCACATTTAGTACCAAAAATAAAAAAATGAGTTTCCTAATTATTCCGCTATTATAAATTATTACTAGATTAATTATAACATTATTATTAAAACTTTAAAATGTAAATTAATTTATATGATATAAGATGTGCCTTTGTGTATTAGTAAGTTCAATTGAAAAATGTATAATTCAATATGAAAAATGTATTATATGTAATAGTGGATTGGTGCATAAGTCTACCTTCGGGTTTTATACGTCTTTATTAGAAATTTTACATCAGTACATTTATACATATTATAAAAATAAAAACCGTATAGTTTATAGTAAAAATAGTAACAATAGTAACCGTTGTAAAAAAGAATATTTGACCGTTATCACTATTTCGCGAAATAAAAATGGTAATTACATCTTTGGTGGATCAGTATATAGCATGGCATGGCGTGTGTATTAGTAAAGATGTGATTTATTTAAAAATGAATCAAACATTTTAGGGCAATTAGATTTTTGCTTGTAATCTTTCAATTTATCAAAATGAAAATACTGTAAACAAAAATTAAAATTTTACATTATATCGAGGTAAAATATATGGAAAAATGTATAAAACAAATTTTAGGAAAAATGTATAAAATTTACAAAGCAACATTAGAACATTCTAGGCTTGTAAAAATAAAAATTGTTATTCTGTATATGTAGTAAGTAACAAAACATTGAATATCTGTAGTCCGCGCTTAAATGTCGAATCGAAATTGCATAAACCACATTTAGTCGATTGTAGTGCAGTGTTCTGGTCTCATTATTTATCCCGGACCATCTATTGAACATTTTCGACAGGTATGGGGTTTTTGGAGGATACAATATATAGCTTATGTACATACACTTATAATTTATATATATATATATATATATATATATATATATATATATGCGCAAAATGTTCTTGCGCTTGAACGATTCCTGTAACTTGAGCATCGGAGCACTGTCTTTGCTTCCTGTTTTCACAAGAAGCCCAAAGCAGGACCGCATTATCTTAAGGCTTGAATGCACAAGATATAAAAAGCTCGATAATAGGCTATTAATTGCCATGGTGACTTTGGTGACATAGAATTTATCTCACATACATGGTGTTAAATACTTTACTGTCATGAAGTGGCTAAAGTTTTTATCTACTTTTATTTTTTAGTAAATGAGATAAATGGATATAAATTAAATTTACTGAAAAATAAAATATTGAATTGACTACAAAATAATTGCACCCATTGTGTTAAAGTTATCTGATATTAATAACCATGGTCATTATACTTCTATGGTTTAGAATAAATCTCGTATATATTAGTGTTAAATTGCTTATGGTCGCTAAATTATGCATTAAGTTTTATTTTTGTTAGTTATATAATTAATTAAATATAAATTAAATATCCTAACTATCATAATATTTTTTACTAAAGTACTTCAACAAGTATATCATGGTCATTACGTTGAAACTAATTGTATAAATCAGACACTATTTATCACGGAAACTTTGAAAACTAATGGACAATTTTCCTGTAAAACAGACAAATGCAATGGCAAGGCTATGTTACGTTGCGATTTTCATATAAAATGATACTAAAAACTGTAAAAATGCTATGTATTTTATGTGTGATTAGCCTTGTTACACATATCTAAGTTCTCGCATATATTATATCACATCATGAAGATGCACTTTATCAAAGATTTTTTTAGGTTAGGTTTTATATCTAAAACGAACAGAATTTGTCAGTACAGCAGGCACATAGCATATTAATAGTTTTTTAGTACCTAGTACCTAGTAGATAGTATTATGTTGCGTTTTTCATATAAAATGGTACTAAAAACTGTCAAATGTTATGTATTTTTTGTGCGATTAGCCTTTTTAACATATATCTAAGTTCTCGCATATATTATATCACATCATGAAGATGCACTTTATCATAAAGATTTTTTTAGGTTAGGTTTTATATCGTTATACGAACGAACAGAATTTGACAGCATATACAGCAAGCACACAGCATATTGATAGTTTTTAGTACAATTTTATATGAAAAAACGCGGAGTGACATAACTTTGCTATTACATTGGTCATAGGAATATTATTGATTCATAAAGTTAAAATCAATATAAGAATATATCTTCAATGCATTACGTTGAAAGTTGAAAACCCTAATTTCATGCAATGTACTGAAGTTTTGATGTGATTTTTTTTTAATTTGATAAAAAAATTCTAAATATAGTTATTGCAAACATAACAACAAACACACAAATACCACTCTTTTTACCTATTATTTAAAAAATGTTGAAATGCTTTAATTTAATTGCACGACTTTTATCTTTTGGCTATGTACGAAAAATAATCGAAAAATTAGCAGTACGAAGCACATTCGAAATAATTAATTTTAAAATAAAAAAATAAATTTAAAACCAATAAACTATTTAATAAATATATTAAACAATGTTAATATTAATATGAAATATAAATGTTTAAGTATTATTAGTAATAATTTTATTATTACTATTTATTCAATGTCATAGTTATGCACTTTTCTAAAATAAGGTGTCGCCATCATTGATCGACTTTTATCGATTAGGTGTTTATATGAATTCCTTATAAAATGTTTTTTGATTTGTTTGAATTGATTAGTAGAAATAAAATAATTTTATAGGAAAGGTCTTTTCCTGTTTTCATAATACAGAAATTGCTAACGTGCAGACCAAAAACGAATTCATACAGAAATGATTGACATGTATACTATAAATAAAGGATTGTTCTATTTCATAAAAATTTATATACAAGTTAGATTATGCAAAAAATTCTAATTAAAATTTAAAAAATATTTCCAAACAGTTCATTTACAATCCGTAAATATCTCAATTAATAAATAGATTATCGATAAATTGATATTTCTATTTTTGGCCTGAAATATGAGTTTCTGATTTATTGATGGTATATTTTCTTCGACTCTGATAACTCGCCGAAGAAGAAAGATACCCCAGCATCACTATTTACATAGCCGGCAACCCTTTTTGCATTTATAACGCAAGTGTATAGTACTCCGGATATATTTATCTAACGGTCTGTTTTCTAATTAATTAACAGAAAACTAAACAACAAACTCCTCAACTCAAAAAGCTATCGGAGCGCGATTTCTTCGAAGCAGCTGGTTTATCTTGGGAAATATCGGACAAGTTTCTTATAACTCATAATTATAATAAAATACGTTTTATATTTATATAAGTTACTTACGAAGCGAATGTTCAATAAGGTATACGTGGCATTTTGCTTTGAACGTAGTAGCAAAAACTACATGATATATGTAAATAATCGACATAATTCATTCAAATTGAGAACTTTGAAATAAAACTTTGAAAATTTTGAATAAAAAACGCAAAATTTTGTTCCCATCCTTTGTTTTAAATTTCATCAATCTTTAATAATTATGCTTATATTGCTGTTAGAATATTTGTTAAGACTGTAAATAAAATTTTATTAGGTGTAAGTGGCATTAAGCCTAGGAAAGTTGCACGAACTTCCCAAAATCTGTAAATAAACCATTCAATCTATAAATATTTGAATTGAATGAATCATATAAATTTCTAAATCCTTCATAAAGCATTACATAAAAACTGCTAAGTATAATATATTCAAAATTTCTGAACTGAAAGAGTTGATCAAGTGAGTTTGATAAAGATAAATTCACTGAAGCTTTAAGTGCTTTAGACATATTGAAATTGACTTATCTATTTAAATTTAATTACACGGTCAATTTTGGTGAAATAATTTTCAAGTAGATATACGAGAATCGTCACCAAACCAGAATAATTCGTGGAAATGAAATGAGAATGAAATGTTTTTAAACCATTCAAATCGTTTTATGTTTTGTACCAAATAAAATGAAGATTTTGAGCAATTAGCAATATAGTTCAACATATGTAAAATATAAATAACTAACTATAAACATATACAAGCTTTTATGAAAAACTAAATCACTTTAAATTTATTACAGATTCCTTGAATAGTTATATGGAATAATATAAAATAGTTGTGAATAAAGTTTGCTACAAAAAACTTCGATTTTCATTTGATATATTGCCTTTGAAATTTCACACACACAGATATATATATATATATATATATATTATATATATATATCGTGTATGAAATAGAACTTGGCAATATGAAGGAAGTGGTAACTATGTTCAATTGAAGTCAAGCGGCAGAATATAATGATGTGAACCCAAACTAGGTTCAAAATATATGTACATAGATGTGCATATAGATACTCAAACACAACCCGTTTGAAACCAAACTAAAACAACATATTGCTTTACCTACTAATTTAACAAATGGACTATATAAATAAATGAAATAAATATTTCATTTGATATCAGATAAAGAAGTTTTACTGATATAGATTATAATTCTACTCACGATATAATTTGATTGTCCCGTCTGTGTCACCTAAAGAATTTTTTGCGACGCATTTGTAAGCTCCGTAATCCGTCGATGTGACATCCTTTATTGTCAATTTCATGACAACTTTGTAAGCATTATCCATGAGAGTTGTTTCAAATCTGCCACCTATAAAAATATACATATATAATCCACCTATTACTAAAATAATGCACCTATATGACGGATTATATATGACGGATATAAAATTTTCAAAATAGAAACTAGTTTAAAACTTCAGTTGGAAAAAGGTGTATGAGTGTTAAACTCATAAAATAAGTACCTATAAAAAGCAAATACTTGATAAATTTTTCAATATAGAGTATACAGAAAATTAAAAGCTGAGATGTTTTGAACAGAAAATATATGTAATACTAGCAAACCGGGCGAACTCCGTTTTGCCACCAGATGGTTTCAATTTATGTAACATTTTGTTTGGTGATAAAAAGATGAAGAAAAAATTTGCACAATACACGTAATTAATTTGATGGTTTCCAATTGAAATGTTAGAAAAGGAATAACTTAATTTTTTTTACTTTTTTGCACAATTTCACAGTGAACACAATGCCGGTTTGTCACATGAAATTAACTGAGCAGAGAACAATGAGTAGCCGTCAAACGAATGATTAGCAGTCAAAAAATATTAGTTTGTATTACATGCTAAGTATCAGAGATGGAAGAAAAAGTGTTTTCCGCTTTTCTTTTGAAATCTGTCTTCAATTTTTTTGCTATAAACCTCGCGGGGCCGAGACCTTTGCAACGAATGCAAAATCGTCGAAATCGGTTCGTGCGTTCTGGAGTTATATCGTCAGGAAGGAAAACCCGACTTATTTTTATATAATAGATATGTAAATTCCAAAAGTCAACTATAAATAAAAAATAAAATGATTGTGTTGTTTTATCTTAAATTTGCACCATGGTAGAGCAACAATGACATCAATAAATAATTAGCATAGAAGTAAAAACATAATAGTTCAATTTAGACTTTATCAATCTATATCTGATTTCAATAAAAAAAAATCTAAAAAAGTAATATTTCAACATTTAAGGAATTACCCAGTTACTATTAAAATATTCTCTAAAAATTAATATTTATGAGTACCACTACTTTCTTTTGAAAAAGTACTCAATAACAGGAAACTATATAACTTTAAATTACATTCAGTTTTTATTGTTTTAGTGTTGAAAAGCACAAGTGAAATTTTTATTCAAGATCTCAATGATTGCAGATTCAATGCATATCGGTCTTGATATACCTTGATAGTCCAAATAGCACTCTATTGAATCTCTAAATTCGCTATTTGCATGCACACAAACGTTTAATAAATAGTGTCAATTTGTAGTAATAAAACCTGCTTTAGATTAAACCAAATCGTAACATAGAATAATTGTCCGGAAAATTATTTAGTAATTGAAAACAGTTAAATTCGATTACCGTGCGCAATTATTTCGCCTTTCTCTCTCGTCCAGTAGTTTATAGATTTTGGATAAGCTTCTGAATGACATTCCAATGTTAAAGTCTGACCTTCGGAGGCACCCACTAATTGATTCTGAATCCAGATCATTGGAGGAACTAAAAGACAAAATTAATAATATTATAATAACTAATTGCTTTTTTTATTTTGTACCAAAAATTATAGAAGTAAATATAGAAATTGTTATTTTTACATCTAATTTCTCACATAAAAATACACATAAATTTAAAAGAAGTGTTAATTAAAGCAAGGATGATTAAATCATTTTTGTTGTTTCTAGACCATTGAAAGAAGTCATTACATTGTACTTTGTACTTAAACTAACAGAAAAAAATCTAACTTACAATATACTATGAATTATTTATTGCACTGTATAAAATTATATTATTATGTATTAGACGTTTGATATTTATCATATATAATATATTAGAAGTTTAATTGAAAATAAAATTTAAAAAACTATTTTGGTTACGATATTAGTGGAAGAACTGCAATATAACATTAATGATATTGCAAGAAAATCATTACATTTTAACTTGTAATAAAAAATATAGGTAAAATTTGAGTTAACTATAAACTATATAATGTTTATTGCATATGAACAATATACCTGTCATACCAGTGAATGAGTGGTTATAAATCAAATTTCGGCAAAAATGTCTCAAGTGATGTTATTAACTATATCTCTGAAAATAGTTATTAAATTGCAAAAATCAAGCCTTTCAAGCCTTGCAAAATAGTAAAAACTAATTAAACCACACATTCACTGGGATAACAGATATAATGTTAAATAATATATTTGATAAAGTTTTAGTTTGTGTTCCGAGTTTATTGGATGAACTGGAACATGAAATTAGTAAGATTATGTGACAAGCATTACTAGTTTATTTTCACTAATTTTTATATAAAAAACTTAAACTTACTGTAAACTGTACACGATTTTGTACTTTTTTGGATAAAAGTTATATATCACGTTATAAAAGATTTTTATTTTATATTTTTGACAAAAATGTATTGTTTCTTGATGTAATTTATTATTTATTACTATTATTAATAATATAAATTTTATTTTATGTTATTTTAACACTAAACATACCATAATGGGTCAAATAACCCATTTTGAATTTGTGCATTGAAAATGCACGTATAATTTCATTGCGTTTGCACATGACCTTTTTTAGGTAATTAAAGTACAGTTATAAAAAAAAATTTTTGTTTAGTTTTATTTATTCCTTCTTGTATACCGATATCTACCACAATGGGTCATTTGCCCGGAGAGAATTTTTTGGTTTATGAGATTGTCGAGTCATATTTGTAATCAGTAAGTTGCACATTCTTCTAAAACACTGCTGCGTGAAGTAGTTCAACGAAAGCAGCTCAGAATAATTTCAAGAAAATTAAATTTTAGATTAAAAATAGCTTTTTATTGTTAGAAAAAGTGGCAGAAATTGAAAGTCTTCGTAAGTACCTAGCTTATATTTTATTTTGATAGCTATAGTAATACAGGTTATTTTTTTAAACAAGACAGTAGAAGTTCTTAGAAGATATAAATAATATTGGCGAAGAGTTTTCAAAAATTAGTGAAAATGAGTTTTCTGAAAATGAAGATATATTGGTTGAAAATAAGAATGAGTTTGATTCAACAGATACTGACGATGAAGAGGAAAATATTGTGAATGTATAGCGCAATCCGAGTTAAAGATCAAAAATGAAAATTTGCGTAGAAACCACTAGTGTTCAGACTATTACTTTAATGCTAAAAAGGGCAAAAGACTGCTGCTTTCCTAATGAATGCACATTTCTTCATAAATATAATTTTTTAATAATATATTTTACCATAATAAATAATAATAAAAAATAATTATATAGTTACAGTGTACGATAAGCATGACCCGCTTGCTAACAGAGGGCGGCACGCCGTTCGTTGCAATACAAAGGTAAGGCCCCATGTGCAGTCGGTTCACCCGCGTTATACTAAACACTGGCCCTTCGACGCTCAAAACACCTGGAGGAAACAAAACAATTAATTATGATGAATCGAAGGACTATTATAATTTATAATAGTAATACATTTACTAAATCACTATGATAGAGGGTCCATAACTTATATTACCACAATAATATTATCGAAATGATAAAATAATATAAAATCCACTTTTATTGGTCTAACTTTAAGTATTTTATTTTCTAAAAACCAGAGATCAAATACAGGTTTTCC